TAATCACAAAGAAAAACAAAAAATCATCCCTACATGGAAACGAAGTTAATTATATTGTTCTCACTGCTCTCCTCAGGAGTAAGCATATGTTTGCCAACAATGTCATACAATGTTGTTCGGCTCAAAAACAATGACCTTTGACACGAGCCTACATGTTGTATACTTTTGATTTTCAATTCTTTTCTTTTACCCTAAACAAGGAATTCTTGAGTGAATCAAACAAAAAAACTAGTATTCCAACTTGTTCCAAAACAATTGATCTTTTGCGATCACATTCAGACACAATGTCAGACAAAGGGAATTTCCTTTGATGCTTGGCTGGCTAAGAATTAAGAATCGAAGGCATTTTCCATCTTGGCGTCTGCGAATTCGATAAAAAAAAACCATCAATTTATCAACATGTGTTGATATGACCAACCAACGGAATTTTCAGAATTGCCATTCTCGATCGGCTACTCAAAACAAAAGTTTCCACATTTTTGGCAAATACAAAAAATTATAAATGAAAGAGCAACTGGTAGAAATGACAGGATTATCACCGCGCGTTATACGTGTGTGGTTTCAAAATAAACGCTGTAAAGACAAAAAGAAAACCATACAAATGAAATTGCAAATGCAACAAGAAAAGGTAAGTGTAAAGATTTTGGAACTGATTTTAGGACCACTTTATTAACAAATTTTGAATGATAATCATAACCACACTTTGTGGTGAATTTTGTTTTCCATCTGTTATTCTTTAACATTATCTAAACAAAATATTATTCCCATTTTATTACAGGAGGGTCGTAAATTGGGCTATGGAGCAATGCAGGGAATACCGATGATTGCCAGTTCGCCCGTGAGACACGATTCACCACTTAATCTGCAGGGTATCGATGTACAGACATATCAACCACCATGGAAAGCCTTGTCAGATTTTGCACTACACGCTGATTTGGATAGTAATGGTGCCATAAATACCCATACACCAGCATTTCAACAACTAGTCAATCAGGTAGGTTTCCCTAAGATGTTCAATTCCACGAAAATATGTCAAATATAATACGATAGAAGAGAAGATTTGATATACATATGTAAACGTATTATCAGCTGATGCAAATCATAAGATTTACTCAGCAACTGTTTCTTAGAGAGTAAAAAATTTGTTCTAAAACAAAATATTGCGTAAAGGCTGTCTAACATCTGATTACATACACGAAGACTGTCATTAGGTTCGTTCGTTTGCTCATATGTAAACGTAGTATCAGCTGATGCAAATCATAAGATTTACACAGCAACTGCTCTTAGAGAGTAAACAATTTGTTCTAAAACAAAATATTGCGTAAAGGCTGTCTAACATCTGATTACATACATGAAGACTGTCATTAGGTTCGTTCGTTTGCTCATATGTAAACGTAGTATCAGCTGATGCAAATCATAAGATTTACTCAGCAACTTCTCTTAGAGAGTAAACAATTTGTTCTAAAACAAAATATTGCGTAAAGGCTATCTAACATCTGATTACATACATGAAGACTGTCATTAGGTTCGTTCGTTTGTTCAATAATTACATAAATAATTACAAAATATTCCTCGCTTACCCAAAAGTCCAGTAAAAGAGAGTGAATTGAGAGCAGATTTGAGAGTTGTGTATTTGTAAATTCTTACAAAGAAAATTTTGCTCCGTAAGAATTTTCTTGCACCATCAGCTGATATTTAATCAGCTGTTTTCTTATGTTATGTAAACAAAATTGTTCTCAAGCAAATTGATTGTTTTGTGAATTTTATTTTGAATTTTGTATCATTAAGCATTAAAATGAATGAAAAGAACGCAAGTATTTATAAACAACATTAATTTTCTCTCTTGAGAACGAACAATTCACATTTACTCTCTGCAAATTCTTACTGAGTAAATGTTACTGGAAGAGTTCCTGTACACAAATTCAACACTTTTGAAATATTTAAAGAGAAAATCAAAAACAATTTCTTTCACATTATTGAAAACAGCTCAGCTTTGCTCTCTCATTTGCTTCTCTCAGCTGATCGAATACCAAATGTTGCTCTATTGTGTAAAATTGAAATGACTCTTGAATATTATAGTACGTTTACATTTAACCGGATTTCGTTAACCCAGTGGGTTTCAATCGTCAATTCCTTTGTATATACGTCAAATAAATCCTCATAAAGTAGGTTAACCCGGTAAAATTTTCTAATGTATATGTCGCTTTACATTGCATTGGATTTAGTTAGCCCAGTGGGTTTCAGTTGTCAATTCCATTGTCTATTTGTCAAATACATCCTCATAAAGTAGGTTAACCCTGCAAAAAGTTCTAATGTAAATGCCCTTTTAGTTTTACAATAAATTTCCCCATTTGCCCCCATTTTCTAATTCAATTTCATTTCCTTCCCTTTGCAGATGCATGGTTATGATCTAAATGGCATGCCACCATTACAACCCCACCAACAAGGACCACATCCGCAAATACCGGGTCAACAAATGAACGGTCCACCCGGTGGCAGTATGGACTCAGGAATTACCTCACATCATCATCCGGACAGTACAGATTCCTATGTCACCTATTTGGAGAGCGATGATAGTATGCCTGGCAGTCCGTAGATAATCGAATGCAAACGTATCTAATTTGCTTCTTTTGTTGCTTCACAAACAGAAAAACTAACGTTGACGCCATCCTCAACAACATCATCATCCTGTTCCTCAGCATCCTATTCTGTTGCTGGCAATGCAGGTATCTCTCAAACAGTACAATACAACAACAACGCAGGACCATCATCAGCATCATCCATATCATCACCACCGACTTCTTCATCAACGGCTTTTGGATCACATGCAAATGCCAGCAGTAGCAGCAACAATGGAGGTGGCGGAGGACATATGCCATCGGCTACGGAACAATTGATGCAGATGCTGCAAAAAGTCACAGGATCACCCACATCAGCACCGACAGCGTCATCGTCGTCATCATCTGGATCTCGTTCAATGGGAATTTTATGAAAGCTTCAAAGCTTTGAATGGTGATGGTTTAGACCACCGATTATGGAGTTTTAAAATGGCTTAAAACGGGCTTGTGCAATTTATGACTTCTATCACCACAAAGCTCCAACACACGAGCTTTAGGCGATGCGTAACATAAGAACATATTAGGGACTCATTAAAACTAACACTAGGGCAGAAATATTTGAAGTATAACCAAAATCTGCATTCAGATTAAATGATTGGAATAAATCGGAAAACACAGAGTTGAAGTCACAATTTTATTCTCTTTTCTTTTTTGCATCAATCCCAATCAGAACTTTTACAATAGTCCCCATAATATAGACCCATATATCTACTGAAATCCCAGAGAAAATATCTGCAACATATTTAAGCCCTTTTAGCCCTTGTGTTAGAATCCAAAAGTATTGTTTTTTTATTTATAAATAAATTGTCAAAAAGTAAGAAAAGCTCGTCAAAAATAAAAGTATTCAATATTTTCTTAAATTCAAACTTCAAAAAGAATACAAATACAAAAAAAAACATGAACAACAAAATGCTCACTCACTTTTAAAGTTATTTCGTTTTAAAAAGCAAACAAAAAAAGTAAATAATTGTTTATTATTTCTTTGTAAATTAATTCACATTTGTTATTGTAACAATTACAACAATTAATTGGTAATGTAAATATTAAAAACTGCATAATTTTGTTTATTTTTTTCTCTTTTTCAATATTTTGTTGACATTTTGTTCTTCGTTTTTTTTCTTTAATTCTAATTTCTGAAATGGCAAACAGATCCATGTAAAATCCCGCCAAAAAAATATCGCAACATTTGCCATTGACTATTTTGAGGGGATTTCACATTCACAAATCATTAGACAACAACAACAACTCTGCAAGTAAAATATTAATTGTAAAATAGTATTATATTATTATAAATAAATAAATCTCGTTTCCTCTCATCTCTCTCCCTCTCTGTCACTTCGTTTTTTATTAGTTATTCAAATTTATAATTTTTCGATTGATTTATTTTAGGCATAATCAATACCAATACATTTATAAAATAGCAAACAAACGCATATAGTATATAAATATTTAATAATTAGTCTTCTAAGTAAATATGTATTAACAAAAAAATGTTTATATATATACATACGTACTTATAGAGTTATGTAAAAAATGAATCACAACAACCACAACAAAAAAATAATTGTATTTTTAACTTTAATTTTAGTATTCATAGAAAATGTTTGAAAATTAAAGCAAAAAATAAACAAAAAATTATAATAACAGGATAACAAGTGTGTTTTTTTATTTTCCTCGAGTTGCTAACAGTGTAATAAATAGGGTTCATTTCAATTAAACTTATCTTTATTTAAAAACCAAACCAAATTTAAAATAAAGTTAAAAGAACACAAAACAAAATGGAGCTTTCTTTGTAAGCTATTTGCTAGAGAAATTTGTCTGAGTACAAATGGTGGTAACTAGGAATACCAATTTCTGATTAGCTGTTGAATTGAATTTGAAGTTTCTTACATACTTACTTAGCTGGCTTGTTACAGAACAGTTGTTCCATAAGCCGAGCTTAAAAAAGATTTCCAAGCGTGTCGGTCTTGTGCGCACCTCCTCCAATTTTAAAGACCACGTTCCAAGATGTTGTTTTCCACTTGATCTTTCCATCTAATTCGTGGCCTGCCTTCCCCTTCTACGGGAACCAACTTTAATTTGGTTAGGTGATATACACTCTATACCATAATCTCTTATTGGTTCTGGGGTATCTTCTCCACCGCCACTATTTGATACCAGAAGCTTTTCAAAATGTTCCTTCCAGATCCTCAACACGCTGTCTGTATCTGTCACCAGGTTTCCTACTTCATCTCTACAGGAGGATGTGCCTGCCCCAAAACCTTCGACTTGGTGTTTTACTCGTTGGTGAAATTTCTGGACTTCATTCTGACTCCTGTACATCTCGATTTGCTCACGCTCACGTTTTTCTTGTTCTTTCTTCTTTTTTTCTGAAAACACGTTTCTCCTCTCTCCTTTTCTCCTGATAATTCTCCATCACATTACGTCTTGCTACTGTCTGCAGGGTTGCCCTATACGCTGCGTTTTTCTCATCAGTAGCATTACGACACTCCTGATCGTACCATGGGTTTCTTGGTGGTGGTTTTTGGTACCCAATTGTTCATTTTGCTGCAGTTTGTAGGGAGTGGGCAATTCTTTGCCATTGTGCTTCTATACTATTATCGGGACAAGAAGTGTTTTCTTCAAGCAGATGGGTAAGTTGAGCGGAGTAGGCCTCGGCTACCTGTTGTGTTCGCAGCTTTTCGACGTCGACTTTCCGTGTTGTGTTAGATCGCATCTTTTCTGCAACATTAAGACGAGTGCGAATCTTGGCTGCTACAAGGTAGTCTATCTATCACAACATGATCAATTTGATTTCTTGTTGCTTGATCAGGAGAAATCCAGGTGCTGCTAACTACCATGTTTTTGCTGCCGCGAAGTCAATCAACCTCATGCCGTTGTCGGATGTTTCTTCATGATGGCTGAATTTTCCGACGGTGGGGCCAAAGATATTTTCCCTTCCGATTTTTGCATTAAAATCTCCTAGCAGAATTTTAATTTCATGCAGAATTAATTTCATCATATGATGTTTCTAGGCGCTCGTAAAACATGTCTTTGGTCTGCTCATCGGTCGGAGCATGGGCGCAAATAAGACTGATGTAGATGAACTTTGCTTTTATGTGGATTATAGCAATTCGCTTATCTATTTCGCTGGAGTGAATCTGGAGACAAGGTCATTTAATCTCCTGTTGACCATAAATCCGCAGCCAAATTCGTGTCTCGTCCGTAATCATCTGATTTACTTACGCCTGTCCCTTTCCATCGAATTTCCTATAAGGCAATAATATGGGCTTTGTACTTCTTGAATACATCCGCCAAAGCGAGAACTGCACCTATTCTGTGCAATGTGCGCATATTCCAAGTGCAGATCGTGGTCCTTTATACGTTGGCGAGGTTGTCAACATTAGGGGGGTTTGGTTTTCTTTTTCTTTGCTTTTTCATAGTAGTAGGTGTTTTCCAAGTGTGGGCAACTAACTCGACGCCATTTTTGCTTGGTATCTATCAGGGATGCAAAATGAAATTACTGAAATTGTACTGGATTTCAATAAAAAGTGTACTTTTTTCAGTCCGATTGTACTTTTTATGTATTTTAATAGCATTTTTATTGTTATTAATAATAAATACAAACATTCATAAAGAATTCATTTTTATATACACATAGATAAGATGAACACTTAAAAATTAACAAAAAGGCACATACTAATTCATTTGTGGGTCTTTAGTGCACAATTTACATAAAATCGGAAGAAAAAATATATAGGAACTACATTTAAATCTGAACCGATTTTTACGAAATTTAACACACATCATTCTAAACCTAATTCAGTACGTTGTGCCAAATTTCGTGCAAATCGAAATATATATAGGGACTTTGCAACACCGTATACATTAAATCGGGCAAAAATATATATGGGACATATATATCACTCTGGACCGATTTTCAGGAAACTTAACACACATTATTCTAGACCTATTTCAGTACGCTATGCCAAATTTCGTGCAAATCGAAAGATATATAGAAACTTTGGTACACCATATACCTTAAATCCGTCGAAAATTATATGGGAGCTATATCTAAATCTGAACCGATTTTTTCACAATTTCAATAAGGTTCGTCCTTGGACTAAATAAGTGACCTATGCCAAATTTCATCCAATTCGGATCATAAATGCGACCTGTACTTTGTTTACAATTTAACATGGACAGACAGACGGACGGACGGAAATGCATAAAGCGACTTAAAAAGTGATTCTATGCATATTCTTAAAAGGAACCATGTGCCTATCTCGTTTCCTTTTGCATGTTACAAACATATGCACAAAGGGTATAATAACAGTGAAAAGGGTTTGAAAATTCTGAAATAATAAAATTGAGCCTTAACTTTTGGGAATCAGCTTCGAAATCACCGCGTGTAAAATAATATTGAAGTGATTCCCACTGCCCCAAAATTGTTTCAATAACTTCTTGACGTGAAACCCATCGAGTTGTTGAGTATTTAAAAACAACATGAATATCTGTACGGATTTATTCCTGAAACATTGAAAAATAATCTCTCTCATAGAACTGTAACAGAAATAATAATTCAAATGTTTACTGAATTTATCAATCTGATGGGGAATACTGAATTTTGAAGCGGCATAGGACACTACGTTTAAACTATGGCAAATTCATCCATTCGTAACGACAGCGGGGGATGGCGATTCATTTCATATTGTATGTTTAAGCACTTATAATACTTTTGAGTGAGAATAATTTGTTGCAATTTAGAAATAGTGCTAAATATGTCATTGGGGTGCTATCGTATTTTTGACTTCCAAATAGTGCTAAAATTAGTACAATTGTACCAACTTTTGCATCCCTGGTATCTATCATCTCCTACATCATAATGAATTTGAAGTGTTGCCATATAATTTTGACATTTTTACTAGTTTTCCATTCCAGAACTTTTCGTATTAATATTTAGTCTGAGAGCGCTAATGACCTTTATCCTTCTTACAAGCTTTACTATTAAAAAAGTACTGGAACAGGCTATATAAAAAATATTAATTTATTTGGATATTATTTTAGTTGGAAACAATGCGTGCAAGTTTCAAATGATTCACTTTGTGTATATTCTATGGGTTTTTGTTGATTGTTTATATTCTGCTCTGCCTTTTCCAGTGGTATTACCATTAAGTTCTACCAGCAAATTTTTGTTGTCGCCGATTGTGGTACAACTACACTTGCTCTTACTTTATATTATTATTCCAAGGTATATACCTTGATTGATAAAATCAGTTTCAGGTGTTACGAGGAAAATGATAAAATAAAATCTTGGACAGGAAATTACATTTATTATGGTCTAATGAAAAAAAGTTTCTACAGATATTTTTAAGTACAGTTTTAGTATAGAGAT